CCATCCATCCATCCATCCATCCATCCATCCATCCATCCATCATCCATCCATCCATCCTCTTCCTTCCCAGGAATCCCTCCATTCAGTGGTTGTATCCTTTCTATCCATCAGGTGTCCTCGCTTCACAATGCACCAACAAAACAGATCCGATAGCCAAGCATTAGACTACGTGCGCCTCATGGCTGAGAGACCCAGAACAGCCGTAAGAAGTGAGAACGACTCAACCAGCTTAGCACAGGAACCTGACGCGTGTGGGATGTCCCAGATGACGTACAAAAAACAGCTGATCAGACCTAAAAGCTGTAGGACCCAGGGAGGGGAGGGAGAGTCGAGACCAATCACAGCCAAGCAGAAACTGAGGGCCAAGTCTGCTCATCCGAGACTGATACCAGCTACCACGCCTGTTAATACTAATGCAAGCACAATACAGTTACAGGTAAGAATGATGATGATGCATGGTGAGAATGATGATGATGCATGGTGAGAATGATGATGATGCATGGTGAGAATGATGGTCATCATGATGGTCAGTGTTGGTATATCATATGTTAATAACGACCATTATATCTCATTTATCATGCTTTCTGCTTAAAGCATTCTGGTAGAAAAGATATTTTTTACATGCCCTACGATGGGTGGTTCTCTCAATTACATCTAATATGCAGCCCGTAAAGTCCTCCACTGATCATAAATTTAAAGGGCTTTGACACAACTGTGAAATGCGTGATATAAGAACCTCTTATTATCATCATCATCATCATCATCATCATTATTATTATTATTATTATTATTATTATTATTATCTCTAGAACGTTACAGCTCCAATTCGTAAGAGCTGTGGCTTCATGCTGAACCAACCACTGTCCTTCCAAGGTCACCACCAACCAGACTACGCATCGTCTGTTAGACTCTACATTAAACCCGTGCCTACCCCTGACGGGAAATTAACAAAACTTTTAGGGTAAGCTCTTGTAATAGTTACCAGTGAGGTATAGAAAACCAGTGATCAATTTCCTTATACGTTTTGATAGAAATTGCAATGTTTTACTGCAGTGCAAATTTGCCGCGATAAAATGTGCAATGTTTTCTGTTGGTAGTTAATTAATTCCTTCCCTTTTCATGATTACATTATGCGTGTCCAGAACAACCAAAGTCGTCTAGGGTATTGGCGCGGTGTCCGTCAATCAAAAAAATACTACTCAGACTTTTAGCAATTTGGCTAATACAAGTCATATATGAGTATTGGTTTAGAAAAGCATTTTAAAAGAAAAATCAGAGACAGAAATATTGGACGGAGGTCGTCCAAACGTCGAAAAGTCATATGATAATTATATGAAAATGGAATATAAGGTCAATTTTCATCTTAGGCGCCTTCAGCGGACCGCGGTAAGAACAGAAGCACCCCAGCAAGTAAAGAACAGTGAGGAGGAAGAAGTGAACACTGGTAGTGATGAGATCAACTCACTGATTGAGGGATTAATATTAGAGAGACAAACTGGAGGCTACTTTCAGAAGGCTATTCAAAATATGGGAAATAAGGTATGTTATTTATTACTCTATTTACATCGATTCTTATTCAATATACAGTAGAGTAGACCCTCTATTAAGCGACCTCTCTAGGGGATTTGTCAAGTGGACGTTAAACAGAGGTTGGCCGCTTTATAGAAATAGATGTTGCTCGCTTGTAACCTATTTTCATTTTGCTATGTTTTAGTTATGGATAGATTGTCTATCTTTCTGGAAATCCCTTCAAGAATACAACGCTTTGTTCTTTGCTGATTCCTTGAATCCTTCCACGCTGTCCAGTAAAGCAATGGTATGTCAAGAATTATTTCCAGGGTTATCTTAAGGTCGGACAAACAGTACAACGTTGCTGGGGACTGAGCATTCGAGGAATGTCAAACGTAGCAACGTTTCCAGTCAGCAGGACACAGAAAAACCGCATTTCATTGACTGAGAAGACCAAGCCATTGCAGTGTTGTAGCTTGTTTTCATACGATGAAACTTGGTGAACTCAACTTTGCTTCCAAAAATTCCAGAGTTCGATACACAGTGCAATATCGTGAACGTTTGCAGTCGTGTTCCAACAGAACCCCTTTTTTGAGACTGGCCCAGGGAGAATCTCAACCGCGAAAGTACAAAATCATTTTACCTTGTGTCCACCTCTCCAGGCTACAACTGTTCCCCAACATTTGACCACTCTTTACACTGCTACGTACTGATCGAGACAACAGTCGCAACAGGGAAATAGGGCAATACGAGTCGGTCAATCAGATAATACAAAGGTACCGACCAATTTATTTGATTGACGGAAGTGTATTGCCCAATTTCTTCGTTGCGACCGTTGTCTCGATCAGTGCGTAACAACGAAAGGATTGGTAGTGTACGTGTTCTTTAGGGAGGTGAATACTACGGGGTATTGATTTAATCGACTTGTTTCTTGCAGTTGATGTATGCCAGGTACGTGGTACCGAGTGGTGCACAGTGCATCGGAGTCAGTAAAGACATCGAAAATCAGGTTTTCAAGCAGGTTGACCCGCCCTACGAAGAACTGTTTGATGGGGTGGAAGACCACGCCCTACACTGTCTACTCGAGCCATGGAAGCAACTCAAAGAACAGGGAAAGGATGATTATAGCACGGTAAAGGAATATTTAAAAAAAACGTCCTATATACTATCAAATGTATTATTATGCCGTACCGTGACCGTGACGGTGTCATGCCTGAGTATTTTCATTGGATGAGCAGTGATAGGTGTGCGTCCTGTGATCGATTTAAATGATGGTGTCAATTCCATACCGTGACCGTGTCATGCCATTGTAGTAATGAGCAGTAAATCAGTAACACTAGACTTGATCTTTGTAGATTGATTGATCATCTGTGACTTGATTAACTTATTGGCTAATAGACTGTTTGGGTTCCAGTTTAGTCAAGGTTATCTGACATGCACAGTCGTTAGCGACGGCCGATTTACACGGAGCAGTTTATGTCGTCAACATATTGCGCGCGCCTTTGTAAACTGGCCTCAACGACTAAAACATTTTACTATCTGCTTCAGATCCCCATCGAACAAAAACTGCGTCATATTGAGATCAAAGTAATGCAGAAGAGACGACAAAGTGTCATTCAAACACACGAGGTAAAGTATAATAAGATCAATATAATAAGATCATTTTGATATTCTATTCTATCGTCTGAAAACGATCTTCTGTTTATAAGGATTTGAAGACCGACCGGTCAGCCTTTTATTTATCTGACGGATGAAACCCAAAAAAACAAGCGACCAACTGACCGACCAACCGACCGACCAACCGACCGACCAACYGACTGACGACCGATTGACCAATCGACTCACCAACCAAGTGACTGACCGATTGACCGATTGTCTGACTAATTCATCGACCACCTGACTGACTTACTATATTAGACGAGTAAACAGTATAACATCAATAGCAGATAAGGAAGACCAATTTAGGTAAAAGTTTAATGTAAAACTAACATCGGGGAAAGAACGCCTTTAATCACTTTTTGCTGCATTTAAGGTCGATAGAGTCCTCTATAAAACATGCACGAGAAAAATTCAAGCAAAACAATCAGTACAATATTTTATTTGCGTGCCTTTGTTTTGCTATATATAATTTTCTTATGATCCTCCGGTAGCTCACTGAGCATGCGCAATATAGAAATACTGCTAAATTGGGCTCCCTGTGTGGGAGCCAGTTAGTCCGAGAAGGGAAATAATTGCGTGAGCAAAATCACTACAAACTGTAAGATGGCTCTGGTTTTTGGGATCCCTGTGAAAAGAGTCGTGTTTAACAGTCCTTGTCGTTATTACTTCAGCACGATGGAATCGATGAAGATATCGAAAAAGAAAAGATTTCAATAGAAGAAGCAAGTCGCCCGATGCCCGTCCCGAAGGATGGATTTTCCTTTGAGACCTTGATAAGGAATAGAAATGAAGTGGAACACTTTAGAGAATTCTTAAGTAAAAAACACACCAAAGGTACGACATGATGTTAAGAACCTAATTAAGAACCTAGTTAACCTAATTTAACACTAAATACTATTTATATAAGAACCTGTTTAGGCTAACTTGAAAAAACCTAGGTTCTTATATGCGGGTTTTTACTGTACCTGTTATTATTGTAGGCTGGTAATGAGATTCATTCAGCTGATTGATACCAAGCAATAGAATACTCTCTGGTTGACACCACATGATGACGGGCAGTGTTTGTCTATCATTGTAGGCTGGTATTGAGATTCTTGAGATTTATTCAGCTGATTGATACCTAGCAATAGAATACTCTCTGGTTGATAGCACTTGACGGGCAGTGTTTGTCTATCATTGTAGGCTGGTATTGAGATTCATGAGATTTTTTCAGCTGATTGATACCTAGCAATAGAATACTCTCTGGTTGATAGCACTTGACGAGCAGTGTTTGCCTGTCATTGTAGGCTGTATGGTAATGAGATTCATGAGATTTATTCAACTGGCTGATGCCAGGCAATAGATTATTCTCTGGTCCATAGCACATGACGGGCAGTATTTGCCTGTCGTTGTAGGCTGTCAATGAGATTTTTGGGATTCGTTCAGCTGATTGCTACCAAGCATTACGAGGAAATGAGAATCTATTGCTCAGCTGCTGATATTTTTTTTCAAGGAATCAAGGATCTGATGGCCTGGACCGACATGGAGACACTTCGACGCATTCCTCGATTCCTGGACGAAAAGCGCGACCAAAAGGCAAAAGACGTTAAATCTTCTTGGCTTACCAAAAATTATTTCTTTGGTAACGATAGCCCTGCTACACGAGAGGGACAAGATCTGGTAAGCGCTTACTATCAAATCTTCATAATGATAGTCGTTGAAACTTTTTATTTGGAGCTCGCAGCTTAAGTACAGCCGGAGAAATTAAAGATATTCTCCGATGAGTGCGCACTTATTCAGCGAAAGGCTCTTATAAGGAAATTCCCCACCCCAACCTAAATGGCAAACATATGCTAAAAGAGGTCATTTCACACAGGTTTTTACATAAGGATTTATCCATCGGATAACGCTATCCACCCTATGTTCAACCGGGCCCTGAACAACAGTGGTTCAGAATTTTTAAGTCAGAGCTCAAACTTCCCCACCCTCACCTCCCACAGAGCCATTTTATTTTTACATTTGATGTGTTTTAAATGTCACTTCTTCAGATCATGAGCATTAATGGCAACCGCGTCATCAAGGAACGCCCAACAACACCCGTCATTTCCGAAGCTCAAAAGTTTGTGCGCGCGCGCATTGAAAGGCGTTGGTTGATGCTGTTCAAACAGACCGCGGAGTTCATGGAACGACAGAAACCACGTGTGACGGCACCGGAAGTGGTCGAAGATGTTATGCTTAAGAGAAGACTACAGAGAAGCGAAGCAGCCTGGAAGGTGGGGGCACAAATGAGAAAAAAGGGTTTATTTACAAAGCTATCTACTAATCGATATCTTCTCGGTTTTCCAGATTCTCAACAGTCGTTGGGTTTCATCATCACGTGATGTTGTTGCTTTGCGCACGTGCCTGCTCAACCCACAGTCGTGCGCGGAATTCAGGACGTTTGTTGCTTTGAAGGGAGACACGTTTGAGAATGACGTGGATTTTTGGCTTGAAGTGCAAAAGTTCAAGGTTGGTGTTAGTAGATATGAAGTACCAATCCTCCCCAAGGTGGATCGTGGATCAGGGTGGATCGTGGATCAACCCATCCCCCCCCCCCCCTCCATCGGGGTCCTTACAGAGGTGACGTCATGGCTATTCTTACTACCCCGTGTTTTTAGTCATGTCTGTTTTTAGTTTGCTGGATTGTATTTTAGTTCTCGCGGCACCTGCTTGGATATTGTCTTTTTTATTGTTGAACAAAACAACAACATATTTTCCAAACAATCGATAACAAGCTACCTATTTGAATACTGATGGTCTAAGTATTTTTCTCTAGAATGATTATTTATAAAATAGAGGACCTCTGAAGCCTAATCTTTAACGCTTAAATACATTTATGTTACAAAATTTCTCTCAGGGGCTGCTATAGCGCAGGCGGTAAATCGCGAAAATTCAATCTAAAGATAATAAGTTCAAATCCTAATGTTAGGCAATTATCCAAGCTCAAGACTTAGGTAAATATTACATAGTTTAGAATAAGAGAAATTAGATTAAGGTTAGCGCATACCGTCCTACGCTTCAAGCAGTCCCTTTTGCGAAATGACATAACTTTAATGTTTTTAGTTTTATATCTCCGTACTTGGATAAAGAAAACGCAAAGATTGTTTTATGAACTTTTTATTATTTACTAAACAAATCTTATGTACAATGATGTTAAATACCAACACCGGGGTAGTAAGAATAGCCATGACGTCACCTCTGTAAGGACCCCGATTTAGGTATTTCAAGCAACGATCTCCTAACGGTTAGGTATTTCAAGTAACGATCTCCTAACG